TGACAAGGAAAAGCAATCTTCTGTTGCCAGGAACTGCCACATTTTTAATTCTAAACAGATTTTTTTTTCCTGAAAGACTAATCATATGGTGTGTGAGAACTGATTCATGTGATCATGATCATTCAAATTCCAGAGCTCCCATCCAACCTGTTTAAAACAAAATCTTTCAGCTCTACAAGTAGATGGTGATTCATCATTGCTTTGGAGCTGGCTGGAGATTAGGGGCCAGCTGCTGTTTTCCAGAGGGAAATCGTGGGTGTTGCTGCCCCCTTCACACTGACTTTCTACCTGCTGTTAGAACCTGTTAGTCACTTAACTACTCTAAGCCAGAACTTCTATTATGTTTTTGTGTTTGGTGGCTCAAAATGTACATTGAAAGTAAATCTGTGTGAGTCAGTGTGGCTCTTACTTTGAAAGAAATGTTACATCCAAACCCTCTCTTCCTGCTTTCTCCAGAGTATTTGGGCAAAGACCAAGTTGTCTGATTTGGCACAATTTCACATAGGCTGGGTGTGTTCAGGATATTTTTTGATGTTACGATGCAAGAAACATTATTCTATGCTAGTTACAATAGTTCTGTGTCACCTTTTGCTTGATAAACACCTTTTTTTTAAACCTTGATTACACCAGTGCAAAGCCCCCTCCCCTCTGCCTGCCTCTGTCAGCCACAATCTGCCACAGCACATGGAGCCAAGGAAATACCTCACTGTGTGTCTGTGCAGTTAAAATCCTGGTTACTTCTGGTGGTTCTTTTCATGTGAAGCATGAACCAGGTTGTTTCAGAGAGAGGATAAGGCTGAAGTAAAACAAGGGGAAATGAAAGATGGAGCTTACTGGAGATACAACTGTTAAGCATTGAAAACAGGCTCAATGAAGCAGAGCTCGTGAAGGATTTTTTTGGGGGGAGTGTATGTGTTACTTGGGAGCTCAAATAAGTACTTAAGGTGCAACTTAAATACCATATTCTTTGCCTATGTGAATTTGTACTGTGACTAGTAAAGATACTGTTAAAATGTTTATCTGCCAAAGCTTGCATCCCAAGCTCTTGTGGTGGATGTGGGGATGGCTGTTTTTCCAGCAGGTGGAATAATTTATCCTCATCATCTGGAAAACATGAGTGCTTGAAACAGCAGGAAAGGTAAGCTGGAGTTTGCAGAGTAGGGCACTCATTCTGGTGTAAGAGACCATTATTACAGCAACTTTTGTTCTGGACTGGCTGTAATGGTTTAATATAATCTTTTTCATACATTAATGAATTTCTCTTTAAATTTCACTCCTTTAGTTATTTTGAAGTACTGCATATTCCAATTCTGGAAGCTGGTTTTAAGTGCCTTAATGCTTTACACCTACACTATATATATATATATATATATATATATATTCCACTGAGTGCATAAGTTTCATTCTCTTGTTATACTTCAGAGAGGCATTTTGTTTAAATACCAATCAGAAAAAACCCTGCATGATTATGCAATGTGCAATCTAATCAACTAAATCAAACCAGCCTGATTTGCTGTATTCCCTTTTCCCTTCTGCTCATCTCAGAAAAACTGCAGCCCTGAAATTCTGAATTTACCCTGTCCCTTGCTGGGTAAGCTCTTCTGCATCCACAGGTAGAGAGGTTACAGAGATTATTTCACCCTTTTCTGCTTCTCTGGCTGTAGACACCAGTTGTCTTATTGTCACACCTTGATTCCCACCCTGGGACAAGGCTATCACTGCAAACCTGTGTTAGGTTTTTTCCAAGGTTTTAGCTCATGGATTGTCAACAGATGGGCTGGGAAAGGGAGGGGGAGAGAGAAGATCCCTGAGCTGAGTCTGAATGGTTTGGAGAGAGCGTTGGGCTGGCCAGGAATGGTGGGGGAGCTGTTTGCCACTCCTGGAGGGACTCAGTTCTGCTCCTCCTTTGGTTTTACATTCCTCTTTGCTTTCCCCTCTCATTCCTCAGTATGGTTTTCTTACTGATCATAAAAGCAATGAAAAATTGTATTTAAAAGTTTTACTGGTTTTTAAAACTGCCACTGCAGTTAGTAGCATCATTAGGAAATGTGGTGGGCTGATTTTCTGAGCTGCTGAGACTTGCAAGTCCAGCTGGAAGAGGTACAGCTCAGGAGATCAGCAGTTTTTCATGCTGGGCTTTGGGATAGACTTCTTTTTCTCTCTGAGCTGATGGTCTTTCAGCACTCCCCAGGGAATGTTCTCAGTGCTGATATTTAGTGAAGGTTCTCTGAGCCGTTTGATTATTTTGCACTGTTTGAGTTTGCAGCTGAGGTTTGCTTCTGGAAACCTGCTGCAGAAAGATGAATAATTAAGATGCAGACAGGAAACACAAGATTTTAATACTGAATTGCTTCAGAGTCCTCTTTGGCTTCCTTTTTTGTTATGTCTGTCTGCAATGGCTTGACCAAATGACGGATCTTGGCATTCCCTACCAGTTTGTGTGTCCAGAGATGCACTTGGAGGTGCTGAATGTGAGATTCAAGCCAGCTCTGCTCATTGTAGTGACCAAATCTGCCTACTTATGTACAGCAGAGGCTGGAGAACAAAACCAAATGGATCTTTCATCAAGAGAGACTCTGGTATTCACTGGATAAGAGAATGAGCTATTCTATAGACTAAGATAATGGAGTAAACAGTTCACTCTAGCTCTGTTTCTGCCATCAGGGTATGTGCTGGCACAGACTGTGTCAACACAGATGTTGAACAACTTTGGTCTGGGACAAAATGCACTCATTAATGCTGTATTGTGGATAGATTACAGATCTCAAGATATTGCAGAGGGAGGAGCCAACTCTGCATCTTCATGTGTAAAAGGAAAACCTTAATAAGGACTGCTGAACCTGACTAGCTGCCTCATAGGAAATTGCAAGGTAAACTCTGTTTATTTTTCTGTCACTGCCATTAAAATAAGTCCAGCATAAGGAAACACCAAGTTATCCAAAATAATGAATAATGTATTTTTCGTGTTACTGTCTTCATGAAAAATCCCTGTGATTTTAGTCTTAACAACATGTGTGCAGGTGCACTTGACAAACTCATTCTGACAACTAGAGGCATGTCTGCATGCTGTCTTTTAATAATGGTATAAATAATTTCCCAAACTGTAAACTACTCCCAGATAATACATTTCTGTACAATCTCATAAATACACAAGTATCACACGTGTTAGCAGACAGAAGCAGGAGTGATTTTGTCCTACCAGTGAGGCTTTGGCTTAGTTCCACACCCTGCAAAGCTCCTTGTGAAGCTCACGTGAACATTTGATATTTCAGGATTGCATCCTGAAAACATCTCAAATGTAGAAATCTTTCCATTTCTATATAGCTGACCTTTTCTTGGAAATACATGACTGTGAGGCTTGAACTCAAGATGAAGATTACCAAGGTGTAAAGCTCTTGTTCATAGTCTGCCACAGACACTCCCAGCCTGCTGCTCTCTCTGTGCATTGTTAGTACCAGTACTGAGCCCAAGCTGCTGTGGGGTGGGAGGGAGGGAGGGAGCTTACCCACGGATATGAAATGCAGCTGTGCTGCAGGCTCTGTGCAAGGGAAAGGAACTTTGGGCTTTTATGACTGATTATAGTTTCCTTTGAAGCTGTGTGGATGTGCCATCCCAAGGGGTTCTCTGATGGACAGGAGTTTTGTTGAGGGGGTAAAAACTTGTAAAAGAATTAACAAACACAGTATCAGAGGCGAATTAAGGCTCTTTGTCCCATGAATTTCACAGCTTTGTAACCCTGATTTAGAGGAATTCACTTCTGCTTTGATGTCTGATAAAAGTATATTCTTCTAAGGTAGGCTGCTGTTGGGAAAACAAAATGCATCAAAGTCTGGACTATACTTTGAAAAACTGAGCAATTCACTGTTCTTGTCTGATGCTTAAAATACTTACAAAGTTCCTGACTGAACCTTGGAAAGCCCAACAGAAAGATTGCTGGGTGGTTTTGATTTCTTGTGTTAAATTTAGGTGGACTTTTATTCTGAAGTCCTTTTGTCTGAACACTCTCCCTTCACATGACACCCGCAGCAGTATGAACGTCCTGGCTGCCCTCTGCAGCTGACTGTGCTAAGCAAGAGACCAAGGTCTGTAGAAACCAGCCCAGTCCACTCTTTGGTTTGAAGCAGCTCCCAGATGTGATGCAAGCAGCAGCTCTGTGTGGGGTTATGCTTATAAGCAAAGGCCAAAGGATCTCTCCAGACACAAACCTTCTGAAAATCTGGGTCAGATCGTGAGAGTGATCAGATACTGTTGATGACTTCTGAATTTTCCCTGAATATCAGTCAGCATAGTGCAGAAAGCCTGAGCTCAGGGAAGTGCCAAAACCTGCTCCACTGGTCCCCTGAATCTTGAGCATGTCAACAGAGCAGATATTTGAACTGAGAAGAATGATGAAAAATTAAGACTCAAAGTGATCAACTCAAAGTTCTTGTCCATTCTGTAAAGGCCCTTTGTAAGTCTGCTCCTTTCTAGTTATCTACTTACCTTTGTTCCACCAGCCATGCCAGCCTCAGCATCCAGTTTGATTTCTTGTAATCCACCTGAACTGCAACTGTAGGACCCCATTTCAACAGCTGTTTGTTGTTCTCTTCTTACAAGGCCTGTGGAAAACCAACCAGGCAGCAGTGATATCATCTGAGCAGACACTAAGGGGACTCAGTTTCCTGTACCCTAGTTACTGTCTGGTCATTTTTCAATGAGTCCACGTCAAGGAGCAAGTTGACAATGATCCCTGTGCTCCCTGATGTCTGTTCTTACCTTATATCTTCTTTCATTTCTCACACTTCTAACCATGCCGGAAAATGTCCAAGGACTGCATTTTTCAATGTGCTTTTACACACTCTCCCACTAAGCACTACTATAATTCTAATAAATAATAATAAATAATATATATGTTATGATTATTTGGACTCATTAGTACAGAAGGACCCACATAATATGTATGTGCAAATATAGGATTTGGGCAAATTGATGCAATTGTTTGTTGTCTTCTCCAAATGTAAGATGTGCTAAAAACACTTGGAAAGTTGGTTTGTTGGGCTGTGTCAGTTCCAGGCTCCCTTTCTTGGCTGGTTTGCTGTGTGTGCTGTGCTCTGCCTGCATTATTAGGGTGGTGATGCTGGTGTTATCTGAGCTTTCTTCTTCCATTGGAAAGGCTTCTTCACCTGCTTCTTCTGAGTACAGGAAAGCCGTGGGCTGTGGAGCAGGTTCCACATTAGCCAGATCTCAGCAACCTTCAGGCTATGAACTACCATGAGATCTTTGTAAAAACAGGGATCGAACGTCTGTAGGTGTGGGGCAGCAGAAGGCTTAACAATGCCAAAGGTCTTGAATCCTTCGTGTAAAATGGGCTTGAGGTTGATTCTCTGTAAACACATGCCCAAAAAGACATCATCAATGGGGAACAGCTCCACCTCCCTGCAAGCCCTAGAGAGCTTCCTCATGGTGCAGCTGGACAGCAAGAACCCTCCTCCTCCGGCGTAGGCGGGGTAGACGCTCAGCCCGTACATGGTCTCTGGGATGTAGTATTTGCTCTTCCGGACACGGATGGGACGGGCATTGTAGATGATGTCCCCAACAAAGAGATCTTCAGTGGGATCGTGTCTCTTGAGGAAATCAACAATGTTCTCGACATTGACGAAAACATCAGCGTCACCTTTAAAAATAAATTTCACGTTGTGGCAGAATTCAGCAGCCCAGCTCAGGAAGTGGATCTCCTTCAGGGTCAGGTTGAAGAAAGTGTCCATGAAGTCCCAGAGTAAAATGTCCCGGTATGTCTGACTCTCCTGCTGCATCAGGGTCTCCCACGTTGCCAGCACTGTCCTATTCTTTGGTGTTCCCAGGAGGAACACTCGCTGGATCTGCTCCCCATTCACCAAACCCTCCCTGCCCCAAGTTTTCCGGACAATCTCACGCCTGTCAAAGTCTTCAACTATCGATTTGATAGCAATGAGCAGAAAGGGACCTGCCGGTGTTTTTCGGCATTTCCTGGGCTGATTAATGAGGAGATTGAAGTTCCTGTTATCCTTGTTTAGGAGATAGAGCTTGAAGTTGAAGGCAGAATTAGTCAGCGGGGGTGGAGTTGTAGTTTGGACCCTGGTTTTGGCCACTTCTGTTTGTCTCATGACAGGGGTAACTTGGGGTCTGGGTGCAGTTGCTTCTGCTGGCATCAGCCTCTCAGGTGCTCTGAGATCAGAGAATACTTTTGGTGCTACTCGAGGCTTGTTCTGTGCTGGCTCCTTCTTTCCTGCTGGGACTAAATGTTCCAGCTGGGAGTAGAGCAAAGAACAAAGTGCCACCAGCAAGAAGAGGGTACAGATCACATCCCCTTTGAGGCGAACTCTCATTGTCTCTCCAGTGTTCCTGGGACTGTTAAAAGCTGTGTTTGAGCTGCCTGGCACCACTGGCCATCTGTAAATAAACACAGTGTGTCAGCAGTGAGGATTTGGCAGGTCTGAAGCAAGCAGGCAAGACTAACTGAAACATCATTTAAAAACCCAGCAGCAAAGCACATTTTACTCACACAAGCACAGAGATGTTGAGGAACTCGTCAAGAGGCACAGAGGGTTGCAAACTTACTGCTGATCCCAGGGCCAGCCAGCTCTGTGACTTGGTTAAGCAGTCATCCATCATCCTGAAAACCACTCTAAGCACAACCCAAAATCCTCCATCCCTTACTGCTGAATGTGTTTTGTCATTTCAGAGATTTCATTGGGAAAAGCAAAGTGGAAAATGATAAATGATGCCATTCTCCGTAAGTAATTGTGTTTTTTTCCTTCTAGCTTCACAACCATTACTTGCTGCTTTTAGACTTTTTGACTCAAACCAGGGAGGCCCAGACTGACTGCTGAAAGACCAACTCTTCATGGCAGCATGTTGCTGGTATTTCCCTGCCCACAGAACCAGCTTTTGTTAAACTGTGATTTGTATTCAAAGTGAATACATTGGGTACAATCTAGAATTCACACAGGACCTTTCTCCTGCCAGTATTCTTTATAAAATATTAAACCATTGTAAGTAACTTCCATTAATAAGGTTAGAAGGGGTCATAGGTGTTTTTCCTCTGCCAAATCACCCTAACCCCTAAGTGAGAGGTGGGGAAATAAATCCCAATATGCAGAAGCAAGACAGAACATGGTGCTAGGAAAATTTTGTTCATGTATGATAGATGAAGCTGCCTTTTGAGATACAGGACTTTTCTTCACTTACACTTTTCCTGGAGATCTTCTGTCTTATTTGATCAGTTCTTCAACTGCAAACAAAATGAGAACGAAAGAGCAGTAAGAAGGCAGCAAGCAGCAGGTACCCACAGTTCAGGGAAGAGCTGGTCAGGTGCCTGAGCTGCAGCAAGGCCAGGTCCTCTAATCACCCTGCAGGTGCAGCCACTCCCTGCAGCAGCAACAGCAGAGCTGGACAGAGGGACCCCACAGCTGCTCCAGGAGGAGGTGAGTGACCATCACCATTCCTTCCATCCTCAGCAAGAAGGAAGTTGAGCCCCACCCACAAATTTCCCCACAAGTGCACGTAAGTATTTTATCCACCCATGAATAATGTATCATTTCTTGTGTGATTTGTGGCTCTCTCTTGCCTGTGCTGTACTAAGAGAAGCTACCCATGAAGGTATTACAGTTCTCTGTCCTGAATTAGCTGAGATCATTTCCAAAGATGACTTCTGGGATAAAAAAGCTGGAGAGGCACATTTGACAAGGACATACAGTGACAGAAGAAGGTGCAAGTGCTTGGTAAGAATTTGGTAGGATCTGTTTCCATCAAATTTCCTTTTACTGTCCTGGACTGGATCGCTTGCTAATTGTTCATTAACTATCAATTTTGTATCAGCCATAATGTTCGGTTTTCAAACTCAAAATTAGATTAATAAGTCTGTAATTATGAAGCAATAAAATAGTGGCACCTGTGGTATCTAAGCAATATTTCAAGACTTAAGAGGAAGAAAAGTATTATACCAGTTGATTTCTTGGCCAGACCCTTTAAAATTCTTAGATGCAAATTATTTGAACATCATAATTTAAATATTGTGCTTTTTCCTCACTGATTAACTTCACCTCCAAGGTACTGTTGAAATAGAGTATTTCATCATCATCATATGCTATTGCATATCTTTTTCCCAAGCTCCAAGATGTTTACTGACCTCATTCACTTTGTCTCCATTATTTATGAAATTGTCATTTTGGAAAACAACATATCCATGCCTTGGTGTAAGGCTCCTTCCATTCCTGGTGGATTTAAAGTCACATTGGCCTTGTCCTGATGACCATGGCTTTTTTCCTTAGGCCTTTTTTCTTGCCTTTTACTGCCCTCTGATAGAGGCTTTTCTTCATTTGTTAGCTTTTTTGTTTACCTTTCACTCCTCTCCTAGGCAGATGCTTTCACTGGCATAACTTTGATACTAATAGCAGGATTGAAAAATATTCTCAGATCTCTTGTAAATTGTTTTTCAAGTGTTTAGAATACTCAGGATCTGTTTTCTGTTTATGTTCTTTCTGCCACGTGGCTTGGCTCATAACCATGTTCAGCCTCATGAAACAATCCCTCCTGACATGTACAGGATGTTGGCTTGCATTTTACATCTGAAGTCCCATCTCCTTCTTCACAGCAAATTTCTTTTTCCTTTTCTATGCAAAAGTTTGATCTTATTTCAGCTGCCAGGCTTCAGATGGTAATTAAGGAGCTGGATGAAAGTCCTGGATTTTTCCTGTGTTTAATGTTATCGATAAGGGTTTGGAATAAAATGTGTGTGTCATGAAACTCGTAATTTCCATGGCTTGAAGCTTTTTATTGCCAGCATCTCAGAATCTGGCAATAAGTGCCCTTGGAAAAGCCAAGGAAAACCCTGAATTGTTACAAGCCTGGGCAGATATCCCAGATTTTCCTCTGTGTTTTCTTTTATTGAAAATAAAGTATCCGAAAGAGTGATTTCCACTCTGAAATAAAACAGTTCAGTGCTGAATACAAGACCTCTAATTTACAAATGAAGTTGCCAGCCCTTGAAGTGATTCCTTGATCTAATTATACAGATTTTCCAGTCTTTGCTAGGTATTTCCTTCTTTGGAAGGAAAATACCCTTGATTGTTACAGTGGTGTAAGCTCTATCCATGGATGTCAGTGTGGGAAAAGCTGTTCTGCTCTCGAATACAGAGGGACTGATGATTCTGGCAGATGCTCTGGTATGTCCTAAAGCCAAAAGGATTATTCATCCACTTTGACACCAGGGGAAAAGAATTACAGGGCTATCAAAGTGAGCAGGAAATATTTGATGCCAAAGGAAAGAGATGAGAGCACAGCAGAGCGTTTCTCAGCACAGCACATCCCTGAGTGTCTGAGGCTGATGCACCTCTGCTTCCCCTGCTGCTGTGGGGAACCCCCATCCAACCTGTCAAATGGAGCTGGGCTTACAGACTGCTGCATCACTCAGGGCCTTGAGGAATGGCCTGGCTGCCAGCACTGCCTCTTGTGTCCTCCAAGCTTGGAAAAACAGGCAGCTGTGCCTCTTTGTGTTGGCTGTCTGGGGATGGATACCGAGGAGTGTTGAGTCTGGCTTGATGAGGTCTGGATGGGATCATGGGGCTTGTCTCCCCAGGACAGGGGTCCTGGGGGAGGCTGGGGATGTTCCATCCTGGGCTGAGCACCAGCAATGTTAGAGGGCTCAGCTGGGCAGTGGGAAGAGGCTGATAGGTCCCATATCCATGAGGTGGCAAGATGGGAAGCCATACATAAGGAATTAGTTGGAAGAACCAAGGGGGCACATCCTGCAGAGCCCAAGAGCCAACAAAAGGCTGGAAAGCTGGAAATGGCCAGAGCTGGGCATGGCACCCTGATGAGCATCCAGGCAGGGAGACTGACCTGCACTGTTGCACACTCGGGGAGAGGGCCCAGTCCTCTGCCTGGTTTTCATTTATTTGAGAGGAGGATTCTGAAATGTGGCCAAGAACAGCTGCAATAAAAGCAGTCAAGTGATGATAAAAAATAATAAATTGCTAGCCCTTCATTCCCAATGGAATGATATGAAACCTTGAGCTCATCCTGGCAATCTTTTTTGCTGCAGTCATGACACCTCCATCACTTGGCACTTCTGCTCAGGGCCAAAGTGGGAAAAGGTCTTTTGGAGCCTGTCCCCAAATTCAGTCAAGAAGCCTTGGTGATTCTGGCACGCTGCTTTGTGCCTTGAGGAGTGGTTATTTGATCCAGCCAGCCCTGGGAAAAGCAGCTGAGATAATCAACCTGAAAACATGATGCACTGAGCACGGGGGCACAAGATCAGCAACGAGCTCTGCTGCCCACATCCATCCCCACCAGACACAGCTGTGGGTTGGCCTGAAATCAGCTTCTCCCTGCTGCATGGGAAGTGCTTCCAGCTCCCTCCTGACTCCTGTCCTCACTCCTGACGCTGGAGCTGCCACTGGTAGGTTTGGGCTGGGCAGCAGAGGGACACGGTGTGGCCATGCAGCACGTGGGGTGTGGCTGTCTGTCTGTCTGTCTGTAAAACGAGCTAAAGTCTGTGGGATCCAGCACTGATGGGTTTGATGAGGTTTCTTTGTAATCATCAGAGAAGACTGTACAATCTTGGTGGTGGGGATACTTTGAGGCAATGCTTCAGGTTTGGGATATTTGTTTTCATTTCATGTTTGCTGAATGCATTCCACAAGAACAAAGTCATCTTGTAGCAGCCAGTGCTGGATACCGAGATCTGCCCGGGCTCTGGCCTGCAAGGGGAAAAGGTTGTGCACGTGTTCTTCTCCTGCCTTTGCCTTGTTTACAGGAATTCTTCCATCCAGATTCCCTCAGCAAGAAGAAAGCAAACTCCCAGGATCCTCCTCACCTGGTTCCTCTGCCCCAGGGAGAGTCCTGACACTGTTCAAGAAGCTGTAATGCCACAGCCTCTGCCCATGCTGCAGCTGGGGCTGTGTGAATCAGACGTGTGCAGCTGAGCTTTCCCGCCCAGAGCAGGATGCTGACACCAAGAAGTCTGCACTGCCTGAAGCCCTGGAGGCTTCATCTTCCCACCCTTGGTCCCATCCCCTGCACCCCTGAGGGCTGGGAGAGGGTTTGACTACTGTGCCTACACTGCTTTAATTTAAATGTCTTGCTGAACACAGGGACGTGGGAAGTGTTGTTTTGGGTGAGGAATCACATGTTTTGCTCTCTTTAAGCTGCACTAGGCTCCATCTTTCTCCTACCCTTCTACAAGAACCTGAAGTGCAAAGGCCAAGGTTTCAAGTCCTCAATATTGTGCTGGCAAAACTTCATCTGGGCTCTGGGGTACCCACAGGGAACTGTGTCAGCTTCCAGTGCTGACACATGTGAGGTTATGTGGAGTTTGTTCTATCCCACATACAAAAACTTGCATGAAACAACTTGAGTTTAATCATTTAAGCTAGGTTTGAAGTGTTTAAAGGGGAAAAGTAGCTCTGTGTGTTGGAGCAGGGGAAGAAGCCGTGTTCCACGTTCCACTTCCTGTTTGGGTGCCATATAATGGCTTTTATTCCTCCATGGGTCTGGGGATTGTTTGTTTGTTTATTTTTCTTTGTTTTTCTACTGCCCCACTAGAGGAAAAATCAATAACCTCATCAAAGTTATTGCTTTAAGTGGCCCTGGTGTTGAACAACTCCTCTCTGAATTTCAGGGTGTTTGTGAAGAGCTCTCATTTGGAGTTACAGAATTATAAAGTGATGCTGAATTATTTGATCTTCTTGATTAGAAGACAGAAGTGGCTGAAATACAAAGACCCCTTTGCATGCTGGTAAGTGCAAAGCCCTAGAAAAATGAAGTAACCAAAACACTCGCTGTGCTGCCTTACCAGATAAAAACTCATCCTAATTCAGATGCTTACAAATTCTGAAGTCTATAAACAAACTGAGAGCAGGCTGTAGGATTTAATTAGCTGAGTGTCATGAGAGCTATTCCAGGAATTGGGTTCATGAACCAGAACCAAGGGAGCACAGTGAGAGGAGCAGAGGCTCAGTGTTCAGCTGCCCACGATGGCACAGCTCGGACACTGCTGGCCAGTGCCACAGTCACAGCACTGCAGCATCACTGCTGCTGTTATTTGCTGTAGCACCTGGAGGCAAAAGCTCTGTTGAGTCAAATACTGAGGAAGCAGGTAACAAAAATGCAGGCCCTATTCCAAAGACAATTTCCAACTTTCCTGTCAGAGCTGCTTTTCAGGGCATTTTAAATTTTTTTTCCAGGCCAGAGCAAATGAATGTATGAGATCCATGCTGTTACAGGACAGGGTGCCTTATTTATCTGCCTGCCTCAGTCCTCAAATATGTAGTTTGATCAGCTTCCCAGCTGGCTGGTCCCATTTCATTGCAGTTTCTTCTGTTGGCACTGCCAACCTTCCCTTTGCAATGCCAGTCACGTTGGATAACTGCTTGCAAATGGCTGCTGCGGTCACCTCCTTTCACCTTCCACCAGTCAGAAACTTCTCTGAAGTGCAGAAACTCAAACACAGAGGAACTGCAGAACTGCTGTGTGAAGGCTGTTGAGGTTTCCATGTGCAGGGGTCCCAGAGAGGAACTGGTCCCTCCTCGCTGGGGACTGTGGTCCCGTGGGAGCCCTACTGACCCTGGGCAGCACCAGCTGCCTGCAGGACTGAGCTCCAGGGAAGGCTGGCTGCCAGCACCCTGCTCCCCTGGCCCTGCTGGCCCAGTGTCACTCAGGCACACGTGGCACAGTTTGGGAGATGCAGCTTGTTTAAGCAGTGCATGATGCTCTCCGTCCCTCTTGGAGAAGGACGCGCCGTGGGGGCAGTGCCCGTGCAGCACTGAGTGGTGCCAGGCACCCGGGCTGGGCTGAACTGTGCCAGGCACCCAGGCTGGGCTGAACTGTGCCAGGCACCCGGGCTGGGCTGGGCTGAACTGTGCCAGGCACCTGGGCTGGGCTGGGCTGAACTGAACTGTGCCAGGCACCTGGGCTGGGCTGAGCTCTGCCAGGCACCTGGGCTGGGCCCCAGGATCCTGGGAAACCTCCAGTTCCTCTGAGCACAGCCCCACACCTCTAACGAGTGCTCAGCTGCCTGCAAGGTAGGAGAAGGTAATGGCCAATGACCTTCTGCAGGCTCAGCAGCCTCCAGAGGTACTGTCCTACCTTCAGATGCAGTCTTGCTGTTGGTAGTTTGATTTTCAGAATGGCGAAGGGCTCAGCAGCTCAACTCTGAGTGCTCTGGGGAGGAGACAGGTCCCTCCTGAGTGGCCAAGGTGAGGAACCTCCAGTCTATCTTTCAAACATTAATTTTTCTGGGCACCAGGAGGGGAATAAAGCCTTGCAGGTTTGTGAAGGAGTAAGAAACTGAAACAAACACCTTCCTTTCCCAGCCCTCCCCAGGCTGCAGTGCTTGCCACCTCTTCAGCTCCCAGACCCTCTTCTGATAGATAACTTGCCCAATGCACCCTAAACCCAAGCAACTGCAGTGCAGTAGCATGGATGTATTGTTACATCCATGAGAGATGGGACAGAGAGTACATGCAGATGTGCTTTCAAGATTAATTCATTTCAAGATTATACCCAACACAAAAGTTTCTCAGAATCTGCCCAAAAGCTATTAAAAAAACATCAGTAACTGCCTGATGATTCAGAGGGGCTAAATTACTTTCTATCTTTGTGACGCTAGAGAGCTTGAAAAATCCCATGTTCTGCTCAAAGCATACCACAGTGTAACACGGGGAAGATTCATGTCCTTTTACTTTTAGCCTGTAAATGTAATGTGCCACCGCTGGAACACGTTTGTGGATGGGAGGAAACCCTGTCTCAGAGCACTGCAGGCATTGTCTAAAGAAGCCCCACATTTCTGTTAAAACAACCTAAACATTCAAAGAAAGTTCTTTGGAAAGTAAAGTGTAAAGCAGATGTCTCAGGGCTGGAGCCTGCGTGTTCAGAGCCTGCAGCCGACCCTGCTGCGTGTTAACCATCACGGTCCAGGCTGCTGCACGTAACGACATTCAACAGCAGCAAGGCGAAAAGAAAAGCAAAGCTGGGAGCAAAGGGAAGCAGTAAGGACAGACTCCAGTCCACCCTGCTCTCTGCACAACTCTCCCCACCCCACCGAGATCAAACACCCTTAATAGATACTTACACCGCATTTGATAGCGCCGATCCCGCGTCCCCTCGGTAATGTCTGTGCAGCGGGCTGCCAAGCAGGCACATCTGGATGTAGTTAGCGAGAGACATTGCTCAGCCTTCCCGCGGAGCGCAGCAAACCCCGGCGGCTCGGGGCCGTGCCCGCCGGCAGCGAGCGGAGCTGGCCGGGCCGGGAGCGGGATGGGGCCGGGATGGGGCCGGGATGGGGCCGGGATCGGGCCGGGATGGGGCCGGGATGGGGCCGGGATGGGGCTCGGCCGGCCCCCAGCACTGCCCCAGCCCGCAGCCAGGGGAGCTCGGCGGGCAGGGCAGAGCCGGGTCCCGTCCAAGCCCCGGCACGGGATGGGGCCGGGGAGCGCCGGTGGCCCCGGGACGGGGCGGAGGTGTCGGGGGGCAGAGCGCGCAGCCAGGTTGGGGACTCGCACCACTCCTGCACAAAGGCTGCATTTTTGCTTTCCTGCCCCCGCCCCCACCCCGCCGTAACTTTTTCCAATAGGAAATGTACTAATTTTTCTGAGTGTCTTTTTATTTTCCTTCTATATTTTGTCTTTTTTTTTTTTTTTTTTTTTTTTTTTTTTTTTTTTTTTTTTTTTTTTTTAATTCCCTTGTGAGTATTTACCTCTGCAAAGAGTCAAAATGAAAAATAGAGGTTGGGTTCAGCTCAAGTTAAATCCACTTGGGGGTTGTTTCTTTTCTTCCTAGTAGGGAAGTGATGGGAGGATGTGTAAGCTGAGCAGTGCAGAGGCTGAAGACACAGAGTCAAGGGTTCTTTCCAAAACCTGGAACAAAAAAAACCCCCAAACCCCACGGGTTTGTTTGTTTGGTTGGTTTTGTTTGTTGTTTTTCATTTAATTTGAAATACTTTAAAACAGGTTTTATTTGGAGCCAAATCTAACGTGCCATCACTACTGATCTGCCAGCTGAGCACAGCCACAGCACTTCCCATCCCTGTGGCTATTTCTTTGTCTCTGCATTGCAAACAATCACCCTTATTCCTCTTACAGAGGCCAAGTGTCTGGAGAGTGCCCAGACCACGGCCACTTTAGGGAGCAAAGTTTTTCATTTACTTGTCATAAAAGCAGGTTTTTATCTACTCTGCTGTTTTCACAAATAGCTCTTTTAAAAACATAATATAAAAATTCCTTTTTGTAAGCATCTGTGCTTTTTTGGATACATTTTTGATTTCAACTCGAAAGTTGTGCTTTACTGAACACAGTCTCATGAAGAGTGGGTTCTTGATGGGCCACCCTCAGACCCTGCACTCAGATGCTGCAGGCTGGGAAAGTCCTTTCCTTCATGGCTGGCAGCTGCCTGAGCCACAGTGGGTCCTGCTGACCAGCACAGCTGATCAGAAACCTCAGCCATAAATGTTTCTTAGCTTCAGCTTTCCCTGTGCCAGCCCAGGGTACCTCTGTTCTTTCCTTCTGCAGCAGCCCCAGGTTACTTACCATCCCTGCTCTGTAAGGAGGGGTTGATGGTCACAGAGGCAGAGACCAGCTCCTGTCTGCCTTTGCTCGGCTGGGGAGGAACTGCTCCCTGGACCACAGGGACTCACAGCAGTTATTTCCACCGTGATTCCTCACCCAGGTTCTGGGACCTGCCTCCCTTTTTGCTTGCTCCCATGGTATGAGAGGTTTTCATTGATGTGCAGTGCCCCTGTGCCTGCTGTGGTTTGGAGTCATGCAGGGAGCCTGGAAGTGGAGGAGTTTCTCCATGGGTGCTTCTCCTTGGTGGTTGTCTCACATGGACCTTGTTCCCTGGGCACTGATCCATGGCTGGTTTATTCTTCTCACTGCCAGCAAAGATGCCCTTGGCCCATCCTGTGCTGAGTCACTGTTGGAGAAGCTTGGGGCAGTGATCTCTCTGACCCTCCTCAGTAGGTCAGCCCTGTGGTGTGTCCTTCCAGCTGCTGTAGGGCAGAGCCCTGCTCCCCTCCCTGTGTTCCTGCAGGCATCAAGCCATGCAGCTGGGAATTCAGCTTTGTGGTAGATAAAGAAGGGCTGATCTTGTGATTTTCAAAGTGTTTGAGATTTAAGAGATTCAGGGTAAAATACATCTCTGCTCCAGTTCATGGCAAAAGGAGTTTTCCTGGATTCAGCTGTCAGGTCAGCCAGCACCTTTCTGTGCAAAACTGCTGAAGATTTTATATTCCAGCTCCTTGTGAGAGCTCATTGGTAGTGAAGCACTTGAGATTAGAGTGCTGTGGCCTCAGAGGAGTCCCAGATATCCAACAGCACTGAAAGAAACACAGTGAGCTCCGCCAGGTGCCAGGGGTGGGACAAACCTCCCCTTCTGGCCATGCTGGCTGAAAAAGGCTCATCAAAGCAGTAACTGGAAACTGAACAAACACAGAGGCTTGGCTTGGTTTTCTAATCAGAGCTGTTCCCTTGCAGGTGAGACACCAACCTTGGCATGTCAGGAGAAACGTGTGACTTTGGGCAAAGCCCTGCTGGGCATCCACCCTCAGGGTGGAGCAGGTGATCACCAAATGTGGCCAGAACTTCAGTAACCCCTGCTCTTACTACTGCAGCTAAGCGTTCAATTAAAGTCTCTGAGGCAGTTTTCATCAAAAGTATATATTTATTTCTAAAAAAGAATGGGGAAAAATATATACCAAAGAACTTTTTCTGTAAGACAATTCCTTGGAGGCTGAATGTCCTAGACCCCAGTATGCCTGGCATTGCAGTCCACAGCTGTAGATGGCTGAACCAGATCTGATGCTGAATATCACGGGAATCTGGAATTAATGGTCAGCAAGGGATTTTTTCCTTGCTAACCACTGAAAACTAAGAGACATTAACCACACATCTCAAACAGGTTTCTATTAGAGATGTACAATCAGCTCCCTTCAGTGGGTTTAAAATTCAATCCAGAGAATAAAAAAATACACATTTATTGACTCTAGGCCTTAAATTGCTTTACTGCTTGAGTCCATCTCCATAAAAAAGACACATGGCCAGAGCCCTGTCCAGTGTAAAGCACCAGTGTCATGCACACACTCCAATATGTGGGTCAGACTCAGAAACCCTCTTGATTCCTCTTCTTCTACCTCCTTGGTTTAAGGACAACAGATACCAGAGGTTCACCAGAATTTTCAGTTTAACTAAATCATCAATTAAGGTGAATTTGAGCTCCTCATTCTGCCCATGTTCACTCCTGGTTTCAGAGTCTGTGAGCAGCTGTCAGGGTATGGTCCCTTGGGAACAGCAGAGGGAAGACAGTGACCCAGACAGCAGGACAGCTCCTCACTGCTGAACCTGCCTTTGAAACTAATGGCAAAATAAACAGATCTTTTCCTTTGAGACAATCTTGTAACAGGCTATCCTGTCAGGTTTGCTTCTATCAGATATCTCATGTCAAAGTATAGCTGGTGAGCATTTTAATTTCACTCTCCTCTTTGTTATCATCTGTTTGAACACTGTAGGTCAGCTATGCCAAAACAAATCATTCAAATTCTCCTTTGGATGGAACTTTTATTCATTCTGGCAGACTGAATGGAGACTCCTTCAAATCAGAAATATGGTTAAAACTACAAAAACAATCTGTACCAGAAAAAAAAGCCCTCTTGGATGTCTTCCTGTAAGCACATTTTGGTCTGATTTCTGCTGTTGGTTTTATGGTTTTTCTTTTTCAGATTTTATATCCAGCTGGTTAGCACCTTGATTTGCTTTTAAGATTGATTCTGAAACACTACCATCACCCCTGATTTTTTCTTTTTCACAGATATATCTCAGTATATAGAGAAGAGCAGTTACTGGGATAAGGCAAATTTCTCCAGCAGCAGCACTGTCCATGGCTTATGTAGAGGTATGAAACAGCCACTGCTATGTCCTAAACCATGCCATGTGCTCGAGACAATTTCACCATGGAGTATCACTGAAAAACCCTTTTCCTTCAAGTCTCTGCAATGAAGGCACCTGTGAATGCTGTTGGAGATTATGACATTCCAGAAACGTTGCCAGGGGCTCCAGCACTTAATGGCACTTCTGACAGGGAATTCTAACAGGGAATATGTGAGTAAGAGGAAATACACATGCCAGTTACTGGCAGAAAGAAAACGTTTATATTCAGAAGAAAGCTTTCATGGTTAGTCTTCTGTAAAAGAGTAAGAGCAGTAAAAAAGTTTTCTGGACTTGAAGTAGATGCTGAATAATGAGACTTTAGCATTTTGAGATGCTACAAAAAACAGTAATTCTCACTACTCAGTGGCTGCCTTATAACTATATATGTGCAAGTTGTGAACATATGGTTGGTCTGAGAGCTTAGACAAATTAATTGCAAATGGGACAGCAGGCTATGCATATGACCTTGTTTTCCTAAAAAAGTAAATTATGCAAAATGAAGACCAAACTCTCTTGCTCTTAATTTTCAAATTTCTGATTTTTTAGTTTTTTAAAATATGGTTTGTCAGGTGGGTTTCTGGCAAAGAGAGTTCCCCAGCTGGGACTTGGAAGGAAAGCTATATTCTTTGAGGTATGGTTCCACAGTAGCCTAAATTAGCTAAGATCAGCACCACTGTGTCAGTCCCAAAAGGTAAACTGTCAGAGAGGTAATAGCTTCATTTTGGGAAGAGCATTGGTACTACTGGAAGGGAGAGTGTAGGATGTGGAGCAGGAATGGAGGAGATAAAACTGCAATGGCACTGATATAGAATGGCTTAGTAAAAGGTGATGGAGCCACAGTCTTTGCAGAGATGGTGCCTGCATGAAGTCCTGCTTCCTTGGAAGCAAGGGGCAAGATGGAAACAGATTCACTCACACATGAAACAAGAACTGAAAGCAGGAGTCAGTCCTAGGGTTTGGGAGATTTCTCTTGTAAACCATTTTTACCCTAAAAATCAGTGCAGATAAATCCAGGCATGGTTTCAGCTGATGTTTGATTGTCACACAGTGACATCAGTGTCAGGGAAAGGCTCTCTGTAGGTCCTGGCACCTGTGGGACACAGCAGGGTGAGCTGTCCCCTCCAGCCTGAGGGTGGTTAGGAAGTGAGTGAAGGCAGGAGCAGCCAGCTGAGTCTGGTGATTGCTCAGCTCTGTGGTCTGAGGATGGCATTTGATGCTGCAGTGCCCTGAGGGCAGCAGTTCCAAACCATACTCCACAGGTAACTTGCTGATGAGGAGACTCTTCCAGCATTGTTTTGCTTTCTATAGCTGCAGGCTCCCTTAGGCTGGCAGGCAAGAGCTAATCAACATATTACTGTCTACCACAGATGAGAAAAATGTTGACAATCATTGCCTGAATTTGAGTTTGTCCATATTGTTTCTTCAGTGTCTGCCATTTGTTGTACAGCAGCAATCTTTTGCCCTGTGGAAGACTGTGGCTGTCCCAGGTAGTGGGAAAGCCTTCAGGTGGTGAGAGGTGGGAAGGAGCTATGACAGAGCAGGGCAGAACAGATACTCTTGCCATGGATGTTCTTTGTTCTTCAAAGAAAGAAGGAAAATAATGTAAAATTGACTTTTCCTTACTTTCTCCTTTTTCTTTAATTGATGTCATGGCTAAGAGCAAAAATGTCTTCCATGTAGAAATATATTGCAGCTCTCCAGGTGATGGCCCTGGACACAGCCTGAGAAGCAGTGGCAGTTTCTGCTTCTATGAGAAGCCTTGCTTGCTTTTCTCCTCTCCCTCATTCTCCCCTAGGGCTCTCTGTCTGGCTGCTTCCCTGTCACAGTCCTGAAGGAAGTCAGGGTGAAAGCCTCTCACCAGTTCACAGGAAGGTAGTGCTATATTTCTGGAAACACAATGAAATAAGGAAAGTCAGAGGTCCATGCTGGCTTCTGCAAACACAGAACCTCTCCCCTGAGCATTTCCACCTAGATGGAAATCTGTGGTGATATTCAAGACTTTACATTCCCAGACACTGGCAGCAGTTTCATACAGTAGCTAAAGCAGGAAAGCCCTTAGCAGTGGCACTGTCCTTTGGGCTCTAGGAGCAGTCCTCAGTGGAATGGAGGCCCAAGAGCTCCTCAGCCAAGCTGACGAGCCCGTTTTCCTCCAGGGCTGCGATCAGCCGTGCTATGGTGGCCTTCTTGCCCTCGGACTGGATGAACCTGAGGAGCATCTGGTAGGCTTGTTCATAGAGTCCCTCTCGGTCGTACTCCAGCGCCAGGTTGTCAATGACAGGATCACGCAGGGCCCGGCAGGATTTCTGCAGAGAGCGACCCACCTGCTTCCACTTCTTGGACACGGACTTGGCAAACTTCTGGTGGTCGTCGGGTGTGATTGTTCTGTTGTCTGAAAGGGGCAGAGGCCAAGTAAGACACAGAAGTTTCCTGGCTGACGTGATGCAGCTTGAGCCAGTTCAAGGTTTGGTCAGTATTCTGTGGAGCAGGGAGTCTGAGCTCCCTGCCTTGCCCAGCTGTTCCCTTACAGAAATCCTCCCACAACAACAAAGCATCTGGGCTTGCCCCTACCCTGCAAGCTTGGCAAGGCCTATTTTCTTTTTTTCTCCCTCAGAACTGTCCTGTGGTTTGCCAGAG